ATAGATATATATATATGAGACTCTATAGGAGTGTTCAAATAATTTTTGAATTCTTTAAATTTGACTAAAAATTAACTTAATTTGGAAATAATTAATACTATTTTAAGACTTCTATAAAATCTTAGATTAAAACGATCCCATATAAATAGTAGGAGACTATTTTGACACTTTATTTGAATTAATTATTTTTAAATGAGCATCAATAAAATAATAATGCAATAATCTATGTCCAAAATAATATTGATGCATTACTAGATTAAAAATAGTTTCACCAAACATTAATTCTAAAGTTATAAATCTGATGCATCGCTAGATTATAAATATTTTCACTTAAATTTAACTCTAAAGCTATAAATTTATATTCAAAAGGAAATTAGTATTTGACAGAGGCCTAAATACAAATTTCTCATGAGCTAGGCCCCTTGATGAGAGCCCGCGCCATGTGCCTAAATATTCAAGAACCTAACGCCACCGGGGATTGAACCCGTGACCTGATGGGACTTACAATGAACCCCGTCAATCAAGAGGCCATGGTTTGCAACACAAGAACTATACACACACGCACATTGAGTCTTTTTATTTTCAGAGTTTATAGAAATATTAAAATAGTTTTCTACTATTTTAAATTGAGCTATAATAGTCATCTGTGAATATTGTTTTTGATCTAATTTAAAAAGTTTTTGAACCATTTTGACATTTCTATAATTTTTAAGCTTACAGGGAAGCTGTAGCTTATTAAGAAGAAACTGTGAAACTACTGAAAATAATTTGATATTGCAAAAAATAACCGTGACTATTACAATATATATACATATATTTAAATTCATGCAACAACTAGAAAGTTGCCACTGCATCTAGGTAAAATTGTGAAAAAATACTGATTTCAGTTACAGTTTTTTGAAAAATTTACTTATATGCATTTTATTCGAAACAGACAAAACTACGATGCAATGTCTCACTGTTACCACAGACCCTAAAATGACCTCAAGCAACAATCAGCAACTATTTTGATGGCTTTAATAAAAAAGAAAGTAGAATTAGAGATTATTTTTAAGTGATCATTATCCTTTTAATTCTTTTTTTTAATTTATAAATACAAAATTGAGAAATTTCGGTTCTTGCGGCGTTCTATTTCTCTGCGCTTTTCCAGTCTTGCTTTGGAGGACTAATCCGTGCTCGATTTGGGGGCTCGAGGTAGAAGACGAAACTCAGGGCACAGAAAGGAATGTCTGAGAAATCGGGCGATCAAGCTATTTGGGAGGAAGATACCGCTGATGGAAGAAGGTGGTGTAGCCGATTCGTCGGAGCAGAAGGTGAGGTTTCAATCGAATATCTATTCTATTTTTCACTTTTTTGATTTAGGGTTTTGAAATTAACTTATTCTCTGCTATTTGCGATTGAATTTTGAGCTGAAGCTGGAGTTAAGGTGTTGTATATTTATTCGGTGCGGATTGAGGGTTTTAGTTAATTTATTGAGTGTTTCCAGGGGTTGTAGAAGCAAGGGTAGATTATATTAGAATGGTTTAGTTTTGGGATGTTTGATTGACAATTTTTAGTTTATCAGAATATTTTGTATCATTGAAACGAATTCTTGATGGAGACGATTTGGATCCAGATATACTCTAGTTGAAGATTTGGCAGGATGAGTTTTCTATCCATTGTATTTACTTTAAGATAAGTACAAACTTTGGGTTTATTGATTAAGATAAAATCTGATCGTCCTGATTAAGATATCCAGCCTAAATTTCTCTATTCGTTAATTTAATTTACTTTTTATTCCCCTAAAAGATTTGGTAGTAGTTCTTGTAACTTTTTAAGAACAAAGTTTCAGTTCTTATGCAGATAAGTACTAGTTTTGCTCAACACTAACATACGTCGTTTGGCTTGGATCTGTCTGTTTTAAGCCTTTTGATCAAAATTTTATACACTCAAACGCATATTTTAATTCAGGAAGGGATCATCATAGAAAATTTCATTTAATTTGATTTCCTTGTACTTAGCTGTAGAAATATGCTATGTAATTTATTAAGCAGTTAAGTTTCGGTTGTTATGCAGATAAATGACACCTCTTTGATGTGATTGTCCATATGAGAACATCATTCTCTTATGTTTGATTTCAGTTAGATACTTGCATGATTTGAATTTAAGTTAGACATAATTTGGTTTGTGCTCTTCTGAAGTCTAAGTCATTGATGTGCATGATTTAATTGACTGATACTGATAAAGTTGATTTGAATTTCTAGAATGTTTATGTGCAAAATTGGAGTTGTGTAATTGTGAGATGGGGTTTAGTTTGCTAGGAAAATGGTTTTGAAACGGAAATTTCAGATTAAAGTAGGGGCTGTTCGGTAGTGGGTTTTGAGCAAAATTTAAACCGGATTTAACGTAAACTCTGCCAAACAACAAGAATGCACAATTAAATCTTAAGGCTCATGTCATTTTTTTTGGTCCATTTCATAGGAAATCCAGTATTTTGCTAAATTCTACTTCAGATTTAACAGATTAAAAAAAAAAAGGCATGAATCCTTGCCTTCGTCGTCTAGTTTCTTTTGCGATTTCTTCCCTTCTTTTTTCTCTAATGGTTTTTGGCAGGCGTGTTCGCTAATTGCTTGCTTGTTTTTCGTTTTTAAGGGTTTAATTGATGCAGGAGCTACCTCACCACTTCTTTGTTTTATTTTATAGGAGAGCTCCCACCGTCACTTCTTTGTTGGGGCTTTCAGGAGGCACCTTGGGGGTGGGGAAGAGGTGGGGAAGAGGTGGGGAAGAGGTACTTTGTTTATAAAAATTTTGATATTAATTTTAACAATTAACATTAATTTGCTTAAAAGATATTAAATTAAACAAATTAAAATTATTTATGATTTGATCTATATAAATAAAATTTTTTATATTTGATTAATTTTATAACTTTTAAGTAATGATTACTTAAGATATTATGTTATTTAATCATAATTTAAATACTTTAATTCGATAAATTAGAATTTATTGCTTAATTATCTTATTAAATTAATATTATTTTTATTTAATTTGACTAATAATGAATGATCATTTAAATAGCTAAGTAAATTATTAGGTAATAATTAATGAATATATTATCTTATCCTAATTAAGACTGACACAGGATAAGTTAATATAATAAAATAGGAGAGGAAGTTTATAATAAGATATAAATATATTAATTAAAATATAAATTAGCCTTAATTATAATTTTTTATTATTAAAATGTTTACTGAAAAATATATTTGATTTAACAAACCTAAATACTGAAATAAGCAGCCAATCTTCTATCATACCAAATAGATTTCAGGATCCAACTGTCTTAGGGCTTTCTAACTTTGGATTTGTGGGACTTTCTAAATTCTACTTGAGTTAATTCCTTGCAGCCAAATGGCCCTTTAATGTCAACTTATGTGATGCATCTGGGTGATTTAAGTAAAGAATTTGAATTTAAAAATAAACGGAGTGTAAAAGTCACTGAGAAGAAAGTATTTATGTAGACAACTATAAAAAAGTTAATATTTTGAAAGATTTAGTTCACAAAAAATTTTGATTTATAAATTTGTTTAGGTTAGGGCATTTTCGGTTCACTGCACTTGGCTCCCTCTTCTCTCACTATCTCTTGTTTGTGGATGTCCCTTTCTTTCTCATTGGAGTGCTTCTCGCATGTCGGTGATTTAAGTTCAATGCTCTGCTTGCTCTTGCTCTTCTCCCGTATGATTTCTTCTTGATTATTGATGCATGTTGGTGTTGATGTCCTGCATCTGGCATGAACCCCAGCTTTGACACCATTATTACAAATGACATCCCTTTCAACTCTGTCCATCAACTATTCTTACTCCTGTGCTCACCAGGTGTATTTTTTTTATTTGGAATCACTCTCTTTAGTACCCTTGCTCCCTTCATTTCTTCCATGTTGGCGTTCAAATTCCCCGTTTTGATGCCTGAATCCTTTTCACCCAACTTGTTGGTTGCTTCTCTGGGTTTGGGTTAGTTTCTTTCCCCATTGGTGATGTTTCTCGACAATCATGTGATCCGATTAGAGCATGTGGCTATAATCTTTCCAGTTGTTTGCACTCCCTAGTACTTCACTAAAGTTTTCAGCATCCATCGTTCATTTATGTTGCTTGGTTAACTTAGCAAGGTTTAGGAAAAGCCTCTACCTTTCATGATAAACCTACTCTTTTTTTATAGAAGTGGAGATTTACAAGCTAGCAACCCCATTCAAATTCTATATTATGGGCAATTTTTCTTTGAACCAACCCAATGTTTAGATTAGACATATATTTATGTTAGATTTGCACTTAATAGGAGACTATTGAAGTGAGCTTTCTGATTTTCATCATATTAATATTAGATTATCTTTAAGAGTAGATTACTCTAGACTTTTTTTCACATTTATCCTTCCATATGAGTGGCTTTCCTATGTGCTGTTAAAGTGGCCTACTGACTTTCATTTTGTTTTGAAACCACCTATCTCTTTCATTTGAATTACTTTTTTTCAGCTTTCATTGCACTATGTCAATTAATCTACTTCATGTTCTCTGGGTTCTATTTTTGTTAAATACTTGCAAGTGGATGCTACTATTACTCGGCTAACTAGACTATATGTGGCTAGTGTTTTTGTTGAATTGAATGTTTCAATTCCTTTGGGTAACGTGCTTTGGATTAAATCATTATCACATAGTTACTAGCTGAAGGTTGAATTTGAAGCATTCATTCCCACTAGGGGTGTGAATGAGCCGGGCTTGAGCGAGCTCAAGGCTTGTTCGTATTAGGCTTGTTTAAATTTTGTTTTGTTTGTGTCAATTTTTGTTCAAAATGACTAGTGAATTATTTGTTTATGCTTGGCTCGGTTCAAGCACAATTGTTCAAATTAAGCTTGCTTTCGACTCGAATTTCCACTCGAATTAAAATTTCAAAAATTAATTTTTTATTTTAAAATATTTTCAGTTGAACTAAAAAAAATACATTTCTTCTTCAAAAAAATTACAAAATAGTGCTTGAGTCAAGCTGAATACTTAGAGTTCTCTCGCTTTTTTTTTTACATTTCTATAAGGATGATGGAGCTTTTCTCAATGACCCGTTGTGGGACAAAACTAAATGGAGAGAAAAGTTAGGGGCGGGCCAGGCGGGTAGACTTTTAGGGGCATTTACATACATACGACCAAATTCTTATGTATTTACTTTGGTAAGACCTCCATGCAAGCAGCCATGGGAGGGATTTCTGGTGGGAAACGGGGCATGTACATAAATAAGACCAAATTTTTATGTATTTACGTATCTAACATCTAAATTTAATTTTTTTTTTTAAAATTTGAGGGGTTTTTACATGCATACCACTCAATTTTTATGTATATCTAGCATCTAACTTTTCTTTTTTACATTTATATAAACAAAAAATTTGAAATCATTATTTTAACTTTTATATATTATTTATTTATCATTTAATTAATTCAAACCAAAATGAGCCGGATATAATTGAACAAAAGTTTGTTCGTGTTTGACTCGTTTATAAATCTTGTGTTCAATTTGTTTGATTAACGAATGAATCAAACATGAGTTACTAAACAAGCCAAACACGAGCTATTCGTGAACGACGAGCTTTTTGACGCCCCTAATTCCCATTGTTGGTCTTGTAAAATTTTTTTATCATAATTACTTTGAATGTTTCAAGCCTCACCAAATTACTGATCCTTTCATTTAGGAATAAAGAGGACAAAAAAATGATCAAATCCTACCTTCAAATGTGGAGAACGCTATTCCAACTACTATAATTTAGATTTGCAGCCAATTTGGATACTGCCCTTTTTCTTAAAATAGAATAAGAGCCTTTAGAGCCTTCTTTTGTTGTCCTAAACTCCATGTATTGACCAGCTTCTCATATTCATTTAAGATCATTTTTCCATGTCCTCCATATGAGTTCTCTTATCTCTTCCTATTCCTCCATATGAGTTCTCTTATCTCTTCCTATTGTTGTGAAAGTTGTTGCCCAAGGCATTGAGATATCTCTTATTTTGATGCTAGTTTTCAAAGCTTGGACGCGTACATGGATATGACATTTCAAATTTTGTTTGCTAGATATGTCAGGAATAGAACAATTCCGTGATCACCAAGATTTATCAGGCTATCGATAATGAGCTATAAATGAGAGTTTTTTTTTCCAATGTATCTCCTTATATGTCATGGAGAGATTTTCTTTTATATTATCATATTTTCATTAATTATATATGTATTTTTAAACTTTTTCATCTAATAATTTTTTATAAATGTTTCATGTTGTATTTATCTCATTATTTGGTTATATACATTTATT